AAAAAAAAAAAAAAAGAAAGAAAGAAAGAAAGAAAGAAAGAAAGAAAGAAAGAAAGAAAGAAAGAAAGAAAGAAAGAAAGAAAGAAAGAAAAGGTTAGCTGTCTTTCTACAAGTGTGTTTGGTATTAATTTCCCACTTTTCTGGTTTTCAGGGTAGGCGAATAAATATAAGCAGGTAAATTAATGATAATGGTATAATATTCAAAAGGTCATGCGAGGTGTTGATTTATTTGATTTTTTTCAGTCTATAACAGTCAGATGTTGTTCAGCATGAATAGCATCAACAAGCAAGGGGGCAAAGGGTAACCAGTATATCAATCCGGGTCAAGAGATCAGTCTTCCCTGTGATATGTAACCCACAATCGTAGAGCAAGCACTGACCAGAAAGCTCAACACTCTTTGAGGCAGCAAAGGTCAGAGACTTGGATTCCAACTAACTGATGTCATGTGCCAGGAGCTCGTCACTTTGTGCTGAGCAGCTCAGCCCTCACTTTGACTCTAGAACTTTGACTCTACAGTGGGCTAATTGCTATAAATTGGAAGTAACCTGTTAACCTAATGTCTCTCATATTGGTCTGTGGCATATTTATCTTTAATTGGCTGCAATGAAGTTTTATTCCCTGATCTGTGATGCATGTTAGATGACATTTAACCACTTTGACTGACATTTCCTTCATATTCTTTTTCACAAGATTTCACAAGGCCATCCTATCAAGTCAGTTATCAAAACACTTCTGCCTATACAGATAATAACCTCGGCATCTCCTTTGTGCAACATTTGAAATAGCTCTGCTTTATATGAATGACAACCTTTTAGACATGATTTATTCTAATGTATGACAAGTAGTTCATAAAAGTGCAGGGAAGAAAAAAGAGCAGGATCACCTTAAAGTCAGACTTGTTCCTCTTTGGTGCCCCAAATACAAGAGGCATAATGACACTATACTAAATTTATGATTATAAGACTAATCCAGAGGCATTTCTTTTTTTACATGCTATATTGAAAATATTTTCATTTTGTAATTGTATTAAGGGATTTATTTTCAAAGTGAACATTTTTTTCAGCTGGTCATATTCAGCAGACTCTTGACTGTGAGGCTTTGTGGAATGTGCAGTCAGTCTGCTGAATTACTACGATAAAACTACTCTTTGCACAGTAATTTTCTTCTATACTGTAAATTTTTAAAGGAAAAAAATGTTTTAGACTTAAACAACACATGAAGGCCAAAGTCTGTATTACTATTAGAGTGACTGCTGTCCTATTAATGTAGGCAGTAGAATGACACTAGGTTTGCCTGAAATTTGTCACTGTAAAGTAAGCAGAAATTGGAGTTTTCATTAATGGTAATATGCATATGATAACATGTGTATTACCAAGTGGCTATTTGTAACTGCAGTAAAGTCATGTTCGATTTTGACCATATGTTTGGAGAAAATGTTCGTTTTTGGTATTCCTGTATTTTAGAATATTATGGTCAATGTTCTACCTTAAGGATATCAGGGATTTTGAGTATGTTTGTATGAGAATGCTTTTTCTTGCTTTTTGAAAATTTACACCCAAATACCAGCCAACGAGCCTGTCAGCTGTGGGGCAAAAGGTTTAGCTAAGCTATATGAGGTTCTATTGTGTTTTTTGTGCACCTGCTTTATTTAAAATGGCCAAAAGGCACACCAATGATGTGTCTTGACAGCTATTCAGACCCACTTGAAAAATACTTTTATTGCAAAGAGAACTGTTGGGTTTCAGGGTGTGAACACAGCTCATTCTAGCTGAGATAGAGTGTCAGTGGTGTAGGCAGACTCTGCGCAGAAGAATGTTGTATGCAGCTCACAGCCATGTGCTTCTCTGTCATGGTCAGGGCAAATGACAGCCAGACTGCATTCTCTGTCATATCAGCTCACAGCGAAGGTTGGGGATTGTCTGGGGCCAAGAAACACGCACTTGAAAACACGGCAAGAGAGTGTCATACCATCAAAACATCACAAAACGCTCTGTCTTCAAGTGAAAGTGATATTTTTAAAGAAGAAGGGACAGAATAGAGTCACAGTTTACTGCAAAATAAATATGTAAACATGTATTTACCAAACTTTAGTGTCAACTAAAACTGCTAGAAAATAACATGAGGACAAAAGTCAATTTTGCTAGCCCAGTTCCAAAAAAATGTGCAAGCTGCATAAAATGAATGCTACGATTTGCAAATGACAGAAAAGGCTGACAGGTAACAAAATTGAACTTAAATTTAGTCCTGACACTAAAATGGAGATGGGCCATCCAGCACTCAGGTCAAAATCTTGCATATCTTATTGTATGGGGGTACTTTGCTTATTAATCCGGCAGCTGGAAAGCCATTATTGGTGCTAAAATGTCCATACAGGTTTTGGAGCAACATGTTCTCCCACCCACCCAGATGACATCTTTTTCAGGTCTTGCACGTTTCTGCAAGACAATTCTGAACTGCATACTGCTACTATTAAAACAGCAGCACTTCACAGTAGAAGAACTGTCCGGCCAGCAGTATAGACCTTTAATCAGCTAAGACCAGGACGGTTGAGCAGCTAGAATCTTATATCAGACAAAAATGGGACAACATTCTTCTCCCAAAAGTCCAGCAACTGCTCTCCTCAGTTCCCGGAGAAGACTGCTGTTAACAGAACAGGAAATTCAGTGGGAAACATGACCTCACACCAACTTTTTTCATAAATTAAAAATTTAATTTTTTTTAAATGGTTCGTTTTCTGAATTTAAACATTTTATATGTTTTCTATGCTCTATTGTGAATAAAATATGAATTTATGAACTACAATACAACTGACTGCATTCGGATTTGATTTAAATTTTATTTACTACGTGCACAACAAAAATAATCCAAAACATTGTAAAGGACTCTTGAAAAGTAACTATGTTCATGGGTGAACATATACGCTAACAACTAAATGCAGACATAGGTTAGTATACAAGACTTAATGGGGGAAGCAGTTTCCCAAAAAGCAGCAGGAAATAAATAAGGAAAAGGCTGTATTTTTGTATGCGTGTGTATATGTGTGTCACTATATGAAAACAAAAGGCTATCAGCCTATGAAATACTAATACTGATGAAATACTGACATTGCATTTAAGTACTGTTAATAAGCAGGTAATATGTAAGGTACAAAGCCTGCCTGGTATCTTCCTGCTTCACTGCTGTGGCAATGGTTATGATGGTACGATAATAATAATAATAATATTAATTATTATAATAATAATATGCTACATGCTATCAGTTGAGTCAAATATTTATTTTTTTCCTTAGGTCTCCTCTGTGTTTTGCTTTAAAAAATAGAATAATAGCTTTAGCTCTTACTGACTGGCTATGACTCATTTTTATTTATTTTTTAAAAACAATATAGGCCAGTATTATCAATGAGGGTTTTCTATAAAACAAAGAAGTTAACGATAAAATCTTTTTTTTTAACTGCCACTAATGTTGTTGTAAACTACATGTCCAAGCACAAAACGTAAGGACCTAATAAGCAGACTTACTGCTTATAGTCAAGACAGACTATTTTTCCTACTCCATTTTGAAGCTTTAAGTGTCTGTGACAGTGTGTAAATATATAAATTTTTATATTAATTTTATATAGTCAAACCTGTAAAAGTGTAGCTTTTTTACAGTAGCTTTTTCTCTTAACAGCCTCTTTTACATTCCTGCGGCGCTCCATCAGATTGCTCTGAACATCTGCTCTGAGAATAACAGGGAAATATCATGGGTGCACTATGTTGCTAAATAGTAATCAAATCAACATAATAAGTGGCTGATTTGATTACTTGCATGTCAGGGACATCAAAAACACACTTCAGTATAACAAACTTAACCTTTAAGGTATACAAATACTCTAGTTAGACATTTTAATTACCGAGCATCAATTAGAGAAACCAAGAAGTCTTTGCACCATACACGTCCACATCGTAGCACTTGGGTTTTTATCTCAATAAGCCATTATGAAATGAGCGAAGAGCCCAACTGTGTTGTAAAGAAAAAGACTCAATTTATTTCAAACAGGCTTTAGTAAAGTAAGTCAAACTGGACACTTTTCTCTTTTGCAGCACTTAAGCAACACGAATAATTACAAGCTTTACTGAGAATGTCTGACAATGTGATCATGAGACTGGCTGTGCTTGTCACAAGCAGCACATTAAGTCATCAGGAATACAGAGCTGTCCAATTGGGATGCGTACCATATCTTTATCAATAATAATGTCTTTCTCTAAGATGTCATTGTTCTGGCCCTGAAGTGTCTGCAGCGGATGTCTGTTTTGGTTTTTTTTTGTTCTCCTCTTTGCTACATTATACTTATGATACGTTACATGTATAGAATGTGTTTCATTGAAGGGATTAGTCAAGTCTAATTTAACTGGTTGTAAAAATGAAAAGTACAAAAGAAGTATGTTTGTGAGATTACATTATCGTGATGGTGCCTCGTCAGTTTTGGTAGAGAAAATGTATGCATATGAAGCTTATCTAAATTTCCCCTGACAGGCCTGAGGCTGGTCACTTCAGGGATTTTGTTTGAGATGTCAACATCCTTAGCTGTGCAAAATAATGAACATCCAGAAGGAGAATAAAGCATCTTTTAATAGCCCTCTGTCTTGCTGAGGTAAAAGTCAATGTGCAAACCATTTATAATGAGGCAATCATCAGGTGGAGCTTGCGATAATATTGTTTCTCATAATATACCCTGAAATTTATTATGGCTTAAAAACCGTTCCCAAGACAAGAAGAGGAATTCTTACTGAGCTTGTTACAACCCGAGGAAGGAACAACACATTGCATGCATCCACAGTGTGTGAATATTCACATGAATCATGCAAATTGCCAAGGTTTTGAACACAACATTCAGCTGGGCTTGTAAAGATTAGTAAGACCTGCTGACTTGGAAATGCACATTTGAAATGTGATCATGTGAATAACCAAGCAAAGGATTTGTGGAAAAAAATTCTTCC